TCTGATCGCCGACTTTTCGCAGTCTGCCTCAGTCCCCCAACAGCCTGTGCGGCCCTTGGTAACCCGGGCGGCGACCGAGCCGGTATAATTTTCGAAGGCGTCAATACCATGTGGCTGGATTTTACGGAGACTTGCCACGGTCTCCAACCCTCCTCCTTTCTCATCCGGGCTTGGGACCGGCCATGGCGGAGTTATTTTTGTAGTTGATTCATTAATTTCTCAATGTTTTTACTTTGTGTTATATCTCTTAAAGGTGGCAAGATATGAGTAAACGATACCAGTGACTGTCATACTCTTTTTTTTCAAAATGTGTTATGGGCAGCGATTCATATCCTTCAGTCAGAATTGTTGATGAGTACTCGTTTGGCATAAGAGATTTTTTTCAACGTGTAAGATGTTGTCTTCTGATTGAGAATGCTAATTATCTCACCGTTCTGAAATTCCTTGCCCTGACATGACACGTGAATCATTACTTTAATTACTGCTTCTGTATGACATAGATATCGAGGTTGATTGCCTTGAGATCGACACATGTGACATTTTCTATAAAATATTGCCTTCTAACATACGTAAGTGAAGTGGCGTTGCATGCAGTCGAGACCACGAAGCAAGTTCGAGTTGGAAAACGACTGTTTTGACGGTTGGGAGTTGGAGTTTCTATCGGTTGGACATTCATTGGTCGTCTATCTTTAGCCGACGCTTTGCTACCATAAACTCTTCTTCTGTTATCTCCTTCCTGCTGATGTAAATCTAACTCAGGCTTCTTGTTTCAGTGATCTGATGGAGGGCGAGAAAACATTTTTGAACACGTTTAACATTCTCGAAGAGCTCGGTATAGACAACGCGTCCGCCTGTGACTGCGCGATCGTTGGCCACGTTTGCACCGTCGTCTCTACCCGTGCTGCTAATCTCTGTGGAGCAGGTATAAAGCTGCTGTCAGTGGCCAAAATTCCAGTGTCTTTTTAGCCATCGCGGTACTCATCAATCGAATCAAAAAGCCAAAGGTCACTGTCGGCGTCGATGGCTCGGTGTACCGATTTCATCCGACTTTCTCTCGCAACCTTGAAATCGTGGTATCACGACTGATCGATCCCGGTCTTCAGGTACCCTGTCCTATTGCTTTCTTATGGCTTCTTCTCTGCGTCTTTTAATGTTAAACTGATCCTAAATAGCAGTATTGCTCTGAGAGTTAGACATGCCTGGCCAAACAGAACAGTAGTTGAGGATTCGTCTTGATTAGAAACCTCTTTATTTTCGAACAACCTTTTTAACAGTGGTTCAGTTGTTCACTTAGTGGAATGAAGAATAATCACATCCTATTTCACTTTTGTTAATTTTTGTATAAAGGGATTCTTGTACAACTTTGTTCAACCGTTCTAAGATGGCCATTAAATCAAAGGCGCCTATTTAGTGAAACTGATGTATTTATTTTAAATACAAATATGAATGACTTGACATTGTTGGTATAGAGATCCGTTCATAACGCAGCCAGTGAAACTGCGAGAGCAATTTTTATAAACTTACGAAATAAGATCACCAAGTGAAAAACCTGCCAGGTTAGAAAGGTCCATTGGTTTTAAACTAACTCCAAACTCTTTATTAGTTACTTCAACGGCCAAATCGACATGAAGAAGAAAGCTTCGTCTCTGTTAATGGATGCTAAGCAGTCCTTTAATTCGCTTTGTTTGCTTGTTTATTGATTGTCTAAGTTGTGAAAGCGAACTACTCAGCTAGATGCGTCGGTAAGGCTGATTAATTCATTTTTAGACCTTCGTATGGGTCCTCTTTCACTCAGTCTCATAGAAAAAAGTATTTGTTTCTGATTTCTTTTTGTAAAATAATTAGCATGCTTAAGAGTTTTAAATATATATGCATCGTGAACATATACAAACATTTTAGTTTGAAATGAAACTGTCCGAAGACGGAAGCGGGCGCGGTGCTGCACTCGTAGCTGCAGTCGCTCATCGACTTCGCAAGGAGGGAATTTCTTGAAGCTGTGTTAGTTTTAGCATTAGTCTGGGATTCACGTTGTTGACTGCGATGCACCCTGCGCGGCCGTGGCCAAACGAGGCTGCTGTTATGGCGCCGCAGCCGCAAATGTTCAGTGCTGTGAATGATTGTGTGTTGCAAAGTTTTGATTATTTGGAATTCAGTTTCACGTTCAGTTGTATTTGGTAGTTTCTCAGAACAGTTTCAAGCAGTGACGATGGCGAAAGCGGCAGTGGCGATGGCGCAGACATTGGGTCATTGATCATCACCGCCACGCATTAAGATTTTGACCCTTCGACGGACTCTTCTGCTATCCATCATCTCTGTCCATAGCGTCTGTCTGTTTACAGCAATAGTTTTGCCCAGTGTTTTAGCGAACTTTTTCTCGCTACTCAGAAATGTCGAGTTTCTATTGTCTTCTGTTTCTACGGAACTTCTAGTCATGCATTTTTGCGGCATTTGCTGATGCTATGCTGTCATGTGTCATCGTTCCTACCTTCATTTAACTATGCGTATCAGTGTTTTTATTGTCGTGTCCCTTCTGTCATCTTGGTATTAAACTTTAAAAAGTTTTGTAACCATTTCATTCTCGATCTGATAAGTTTATGGGTCTACTATTATTCCTGCTACGTAATGACTTAAGGTTTGTGCTGGAACCCGCTCCGGTAGACTGTGGTGGCGAGGTTGGTCACCATTTGCCAGTGATTTCCTTCCTCTGTCAAAACCTCCCAAAGCGCTCCATTTCTCTGAGCCAGTTGGATGAAGGTTGGGAAGACGTTGGAAGTTGTTCACGAGGATTGGATCCAGAATGAATTGCCGAACAATTAGTCTTTATAAATGGTTCAGAGAAAAACAAAATGCAGCAAAATAGGCTTAGACAACTTTGTCGGCTTTAGTAACACCTCCAACATATTGAACTACGGGACGCGTTTGATGGACGGATCCGGTTTGTTCTTAACGTGTATGCCGCAAATGTTATCGCTTAACAGTTGAGCCACAAGGAAGTATAATATATTGTTTTCATGTGCAATGAAACAATAATAATGAGATGTTGCTGCATATCCAGGAAAGCAAAATTGCCTAAAGACCCCATAAATATCACTGTAAATATTAATGCACTATTTGAGACAGTATAAAAGTGTGAGGCACCATATGGCATTGCCGGTAGTGAGATGTCATGGAATCGTAATTTCAGATGACCTCATACACGTTTAAAGTGCTGATGCAGTACTTTGTGAAATCCAGTTTTTTGAAAAATTAAATGCTTGTTTATGTCATATATGTGCCATTCATAAAGTATTTGGTTATTTCACAAAGTTTAAGCATAATATCCTACTTTACATCGGTAATTTTTTGCAGAAAATGACAAATCTTCGAATTCTCTCGTTAACAGGCGAATAAAAACTTATTAAAACTTTCTAATATGATTTCGTTCATAATTATTATAAAATCAGCAGATTTAAATCTGCTGTCTCCGTTGTGTTTCTGCTGAACATCTGAAGCGATTCCAATTGCATACCACAGGTGTTTGACTTTTACCAGTTAAATAGAATTTAAGGTATGTACGAAAAGTACACAAGCTGCAACTCCTTTTGATGTCTTAAGCAATTCTGTTTAGTGCCGAAAAACAGTTTTCAAGACGCTGCCAGGTGTAATGGTAAGGAAAGACGTCTTCAGGCATCTTCCGGCAAAATAAGTAGTGGCTGAAACGCTACCAAGGAGTTTGGTAAGTCGCCTCTAGAAAGCTAATATTTCATCATGAATAGCAGTGCATAAGCATGTATTCGATTAATATTATTACCGTCAGTGGACTTGACTGGAAACAGACACCTGTTCTGAGATGACCGTGCCATTTCCGGGGCCGCTTCGCTAACCGTTGACCATTTCTTCAGTTTGTTGATAGCCAGTGCTCGAGACATGGCGCTCGCGAAACGATTATCACCAAACTCGGCTTCGTTCGACTGTGAAGTATAAGCTAATGACTGAAGATGTAGAGGTATCCTAAAAATCAGCGTTTCTGGCATGTGACGATTCCGTAGCTTTAGATTTAAATAATGTCTATAATATCAATCAGTCATTTTCGTCAACCGCCTGCCACTCGAGGTCATGAAGGCAGACGAATCAGACAGTCCTTTCGGTGTTACGATCCTGTGCCAGTGTTTGAGACTCGTCAGAAGATAATAAGAGTCCTTCGATGTGCCTACTCCAGGTTATTTTTGGCCGTCCCCGGACTCTCCGACCGGTCGGTTGCGCAAGTAGTGGCCGTTTCGCCATACCTTCTGAAAGCATTCACACGATGTTCCTAAACTAAAGCAGCTGCAAATTATTGACCTTGAGAAGCAGCGGTTGTGCAGCAATGTCCCTTCAGGTATCTGAACTCCGAACCACGTCGAGACGCGTAAGGCCAGCGACTCGTAAAAAGAAAGCATAATTTAGCTGCTTGTTCCAGGGATCAGAGATTTTTAGTCGTGCTCATGACGGTAGATAAGCATGGCGATGAAGATCGACTTGAACACCGAGAACTTGCTCTTCAGAATCAGCTCTGCTTTAGTCACAGTGGTGTAGCTGAGTTCACGCAGAACGCCACTGGCTACTCCAAATCGCCAGTCGATCTCTTCAAATTTTTCATCCACTAAACACGACCCCGAAGTACTTGAACATCTCCACCTGCTCCACTGCTTCCCCGTTAACTTGAAGAGAGCAACGGGCAAGAGAACGAGAAGGCGCTAGGCTTTTCGTTTTCGATACGTTCGCATTCATGCCGGCCAAGACGCACTAACCTGTCAACATTTCTAGAGAGCGCTGGATATCCGTTTCAGAAGATGCGAGCAAAATAAGGTCGTTTGCAAGCAGGAACATTCTCAACTCCACATTTCCTACGCTGGTACTGCCTTGTCACCCTCACTGCGACTGACCATCCTGTCCATGCACAGGACAAGCAGGAGAGGGACAGACGGCAGTCTCGGCGAAAACCAGTGCCGACGTTGAATATTCTTCATTTAACGCAATGGCGGGTCTCCAGTTTGCCCAGACGAAATACCTGCTATCAACTTATTGTGACAAATGACTTGTAGCAATTGCCATCAATCCCATACGTATGTAGGTAGCTCGATGCGTGGGATCCGGTCAGAGGCTTTCTTCAGGTTGACAAAGCACATGTATTCTGGATGAGAGAATTACCTCTATTTAATAACTCAATAATCTGACTTGAGGCGAAGATTTGATCAGAGAGTTTTTGACCTTACCTGAAACCACACGCACTTTTTGGATGTTTAAGGCAACTGTTACGCGGCACCTGCTTTCTTATATTTCTGTGTAGGCTTTCCCGGGAGGCTAAATTAAGTAATGCACAGATGGTTGGAACACTCCAAATAGTCTGCCTTCTTGAACCGGGGTACTGTCACCTTTTTCTAGTCCACTGATTTCTTCCTCGTGACCACTGCAGTTTGACTGACACTAGTTAGCCACAACATGCCTTGTTCGCCTAAGCTTTAAGCATTTCTTAACGGATTTCATCTATTCCAGCAGCTTCGCCGCTTGTCATGCATTTACAGCATTTTGGATGTCATATGCTGAGTGAGTAATACCAATGGTATGCTGCACTTCTAGCGAGCTCCTGCGGTTGCTCAAAGTTAGGGAGTTTCTCAAAGGACTCTCTCCATCACCGAACGATGTCTTCATCCTTGGTAAGTTGGCGTCCGGACTTGTGAAACTTCAGGACTCTTAAAATACCTTACTTTCTTCTCAGAGGCGGCGGATGGTCTGCCAAAATACTTTTTTTCCGTCTGTAAATTCAGCTGTAGCATCTCGTCGAACGTTTCCCCGAAATCAGCTTTCGTTGCCGCTTTGCTCCTTTCTGCATACTGCATGCGCATTGAAGGATCATTGCTTTCAAGCCATCTCTTGAATGCAGCTGTCTTCCCTTTCACAGACAGTTGAATGTCTCGCGTCCACCAGAAAGTTTGTTTCTGGCCTGCAAGCAGCAGGCCGACCCGTTTTAAACCGCAGCATTCGGCGGCAGCGCTGAGTAAAGCGCTTGTAAAGAGCTTCCATTCGGTTTCTACATCATCCATCATCACTGTAATCTGTTCAAATCATCGTGCGATATTTGGAAGTTTTACCCATCTATCCACAGACAATAAAGCTTTCCATTTGACTTTCTCGTTGCCTCTGCCAATCGGTCTTCACATGGTACTCTGTCGTTTACAGCAAAGGGTGCCAACAACTTTGTAATAATGGGTT